GGGCTGTGCTGGGTCTAAGCCCACATTTTGGCTGAGCTGGGTTTAACCCCACTCGTGGGCTGAGCTGGGTTTAAGCATGCATTTGGACTGCACTGGATTTAATCCCACTCCTGGGCTGTGTGGGGTACAATCCCATGTTTGAGCTGCCCTGAGTTAAGCCCCACACTGGGACTGTACTGGGCTTAGCCCCACGTTCAGGTTGCACGCAGGGTTTATTGGACTGCACTGGCCTCACAGGGAAAGGGTGCAACTGGTTTTACTGGTTTAACTGGGATAATTCCAGTGTGCTGGGGTTGCACTGGCTGCTCAGATCAGCCTGGCATAGTGCCCACCCCCCAGCCGGCATGGGGGCCCATGGGTGCTCAGCACCCCACTGAAGCGGTGCCGATAATAGCAGCCCTTTTTGAGGTTCCCCAAGGCACCAGAAGGGGCTGGGGACAGCAAGCGGGGCTCTCCCCTTGGCCTTGGGGAGCATTACCCTGGCAGTGCCCAAGGTGGGTGAGGAGTTGTCCCGAGGTGCTGCTGGTGGTCCTGGGGTCGGTGAATGGCCCAGGTGGCCCTGGAGATGGTGGAGGACATGCTTCCCTCCCTGCCAGCACCCACTGCTGGGCTTTCTCGGGGCATCCAGCGTCTGGGAGGCTGCCAGCTGTGTTTAGGGGACAGGCATGGCTGGTTGCAGGGGCCCATCCCAGCACTGGAGTCTAGGCTCCCCCTGCCCCAAAGGTGCATATTGATGCAATGATGATGGAGGTCACCAATGCTGCAGGGGTGGGATGCTGGCAGGTTTTTGGGCAGATCAGTGGCCACGGGGATGGACTCAGGCCACGCTGCAGCTCCTCAGAGTGGGGCAAGGCACTTCTGTGGGGCTGCCAGGAGGAGAGGGGGTTAGTAGGGCACTGTGCTCCCAACCCCGCAGGAAAGCAAGAACAGGGGAATTCCTGCTGCTTCAGAATGCCACTGCCGTTGCCCAAAGGCAGGGTTTCCCACAGTGGGCACTGACAGAGAGGAGGGTCTGGGGTGCGGGGCCAGGGATGCTCCTCCAGCTCAGGGTCAGGAGTACAGTGTGATGCCATCTCTAGGGCATTAAGAGCCAGACGGCGTCAGGCATCACCCATTGCAGACTGGCTTTTTGCAGGTGAGTGACTGAAGCAGCGCCCAGCATGCAGCGGGCAGAGCTGCCAAGTGCCCTTGGGTTGTTTTATTTGCCACATCTCTATTGCAGCGAAGCTGCCCCGGACCACTGGGGAGAAGTTAGGAGGAACCCCAGCTTTCTATGCTCAGTGGGGAGCATCCTGTGTCTCCCCACTGCCATCTTCAGCCCTGCGGCATGGTATCATCTGCTTGTGTGTTTCCACCCACCACCCCCAGCTCTGCATGCGGCTCATTCTCTTTGAAAAGCAACTTCAAATGAAGCAAAGCAAAAAAAAAAAAAAACAAAACCAAAACCCCAAACCCACTGTCTTTCAAAGCGCTGAGCGCAATGGAAAGTTAGCCTCCCCCAGGAATCTGTGCTGGGCTTTGCCAGGCCACGGTGGGGCATGGCACAGAGCGGCTGTGCTGGGGGGACTGTCACACCCCACGTGGGCATCAGTGCTGGTGCACATGGCTGTGATTTTGGGGGATGTTTTGGCTCACAGTGTTTCAGTTCGGATGCAGGAATTTTCTCACAGCAACATTACTTCCCACAGCTCCCCAAAACTTTTGGATGGGCTCAAATGATGCCCAGTGGGACAGCAGGATTGGTGCAGGATGGAGAGTGGCACCTTGCATTTCTGGCTTACATCCACAGGTGTGCCACGCACAGCCTGGTCACCCTGGCCATGGCGGTGATGAGAGCATCCCATGCCAAGGGAGCAGAGTCGAGCACTGTTGCCCTCCCTGCTGGGGCCAAGCCACAGCCCCAGGCTGGGCTGAGTCCCTCTGCCCCGGCTGTGGCCACGGGAGGTCACCCAGCCCCAGGCAGGCAGCAGATGCCTCTTGGGCTGGGATTAGCATGTGGGGAGGAAGAAAAGCTCCGATTGTTCCTTCTGTCCCGGCTCGGCTCCAGGACCGCTGTGCTGGGACTCCCTGTCCCTGGGATGTGTCACTGCTGGTGCAAGCATAGAGGGATGCTTTCTCCGCCTGTGTGCCCGTCCATGGGACTGCAGAGCTGCTAAGGAAGGTGGCGTGGCAAAGCACGTGCATGTGCATTCATTTGCACGCCTGTTTTCCCCTCGGTGGGTGAGTTTGGTTGCAGAAAGAAAGTACAGGGATCCTTTCTGGGCAGGCTGTTTTGCAGCACTGCCTGGCTCGGAGCGCCTGGCCCCCTGCCACGCCGCTGCACCCGGGGCATGCGAGGGCTCCGGGTCTTCCCCTGCTCTGCGGCTCCTTCTCCTTTTGTTTGTGGCCTTTGGGCAGGCAAGGAAGGGCTTGCCCTGTTTATTTTCTCTGTGGTGATGCTCAGTCGTGGCTAGGTTTTGGCAATGCTCAGGCGGGTCATTTACTAAGACAATGTGTGTGTCTGGGGGGGGCTCAGTGCTGCCTTCCCCTATGCAGGGGTGGGCAGCTGCCCGAAAGAGCCCATCCAAGCAGGGGAGATCATGGGGTGCTGGGGTGAGGATGGGGAGTGATGGGGGGGCGCCTGGGACAGAGGGTGCTGAAGGGTGGGAGGGTGCAGGGTGGCCCTCAGGGTGAGCAGTGGGGAACCACTGGGAGGTCACGGTGGAGATCGGGTTGGGATGCAGCTGGGGATGGGGTCTGCAGAGATGCCCTCTGCCACCACATAGGGGTCTGGGGTCCCTCTGGGTCTGTTGGCAATACCACCTGCAGCCAGGCTGGCCAGGCAGGGCTTATGCCATTCCCCAGGGAAGTTAGCAGCAGCTGGCTGCAAATCGTGCCATGCCTCCCAGCAATTCCCCTGTCCATGCAGGGAAAGATGCCTTTCAGCATTGTGGCTGCAGGGTCATTTTTCCAGACTGGCCTTGAACCAGTCAGCGGCCCTGAGACCTAGCAAACTCATGTCAGCAGTGAGCCAGTGTCCAGAGCATATCCCCCTGACACAGAGCAGCACAGTGGGCGATGGGTGCAGCAGCTCTGCCTTCACCCTCTGCAGTGTTTGGATGAAAACCCAGGGCGGTTGGGAGAAGTGATTTTATTTTAAAACTATTTTTCTCTCTCCACACTAATACACTCTCCCTTCTCCCTGACCCCACCACCCCCAGCACCATCCTCTTAATTCTGGCCCACATGGTGTTCGGAGTTATTTTCGGTTGCTCCTTTTAAATGTATTTTAACTTTTTTTTCTTTTTCCATCGCCAAAATATTTTACTTTCAGGTCGAATGTTCCCAGTTAGTTACCAGCATAGTTTTGGCAGCGACCTTTTAAGTGATGTTTCTTGGGAATGTTTCTACGGGTTGTTTGGTAGGAAAAGCTTATGACAAAAAAGCTCATGAAATTATTTACATTTAGGGCTTGTGTTTGAGGCTGCCTCACATGTTCAGGACAGGGTTGATGTGGGGTGCCGCATGTCTTCCCCCCTGCACTTGCTGGGTTGCAACACACTGCCTTGTAGCTCTTATTTCCTTTGCCACGCGGTTTGGTCTGTGGCCATAGGCACCTGCCCACAGGAGAGGAAGAGGCAGCTGCTCTGGGGTGCCTTTCCAGGGCTGGAGCATCCCTCCCTGGAGCCCCTCGGCTGTTGAACCCTGGGTGACTTGGGGGGTCATGGGTTTACGCCCACGAGCTTGCAGCCTGTGCTTGGGGTGGGCAGGGAGCTCACTGCCTCCTGTGCCCTCACACCCTGCCTGCCTGCAGCCGGGAGCAGAGCCTGACAATATGGGTGTAAATAAACAGGCCTGCCCACTTGTGAGGGGTGGGCAGGGGGCTCTTCCAGGGAGAAATGACTCAGCTGTCTGTGCCTGCTGAGGGCAGGCAGGGCTGGTTGATAGGGACAGTGTGATGCTGCTGATACGGATGGCATTGTGCTGTTCAGGACAGATACCCTGAGGTGATGCTGGCTGGCACAGACAGGGTGATGCTGGCTGGTACATGCAGAATGATGCAGGCTGGGATTGATACCTCAGGGCAATGCTGGCTGCTATGGACAGGGTAATGTTGGCTGGGTAGGACAGGGCGATGCTGGCTGATATGTGCAGAACAATGTACGCTGGGATGGACACCTTGGGGTGATGCTGGCTGTGATGGACAGGGTGATGCTGGCTGGCATAGACAGGCTGGTGATGGCTGTGCTATGGTGGGGAGACCCCAGTCTGTGGCTGGGGTTGACCCATGAGGAGTTGGGTGCACATCCCTGACTCAGCATCCCCCTCACTTCTCACCTCAGACCCACTGGTGATCTCTGAGTGGGAGGAAGGGATTTCAGGGCCATTGCCTCTGGGTCCAGTGACCCCAAATGGCCTGGAAGGGCAGAGACCTGCATGGACCAGCCCTGCAGAGAGTGCAGGGATGGGTAGTAACATGGGACCCCCAGCCAGCCTCACTCACAGTACAGTCTGAGCTCCCACATAGCTGCACTCCCTGGCTGTGTGAGCCTGTCCAGATCTAACTGCTGTCTCCTGCCATGTAAATACAGGCCAGAATTTCTCCTGGGTCCCTTCCTGCTCCAGCAGGTCCTGTCCAGACCGGTGCAGGTCTCTGGACCACCCTGGGGCTGGGAGCCAGCCAGGGCTTCTGGCACAGGACTGCAATGACAAAGAGCCCTTAATCCTGCCAACACACACAGCCCTGAGCTCCTGGTCAGTGTTTGCCCTTTGCATCCCCCCTCCAGGCATGGGGACTTCTTGGCAGCCAGGAACCAGCTGTGACAGTGGCACAGACCCTGCCAGCTGTCCCGGCTGGGATCCTGGTGGTACGGTCCCTGTGATGTCCCCAGCAGGATGGGGCGAGACAAGAGGAAGATGCGGGGTCCATGGTCCTGCAGGGATGCTCTGGGCTGTGGATGCTGCTGGCCACCCCATTGCAGGGGATAACACCCTCTCCCTCCCCACTCTGCCTCCTCCAGATGCACAGTCCCATCCCAGGCCTGGGCAGGGTGATGGTGTTCCTCGCGGCAGCTCTGGCATCAGCCTCCCTTGCTGTCCCTGAGGACAGAGAAGAAGGTGAGCCCCGCCTCAACCCCCCCCCCTCCCCCCCCCCCCCCCCCCCCCCCCCTTCTCAGCCCCCCATGTCCGAGGTATGGAGACCCTGAGGGCACCCCATTCCCCCCAGGCAGGCACAGACCTACCAGAGTCAGGGTGTAAGTGAAATGCAGCCCCATGGCAAGGGGTGTCCTCTGGCCAGCACCCCCCTGCAGCTGTCCATTGCCCAGCCCCGACTGGGACCAGTTCTTCCCCGTCCCCCCTGGTGGTACCTGCATGAAGCAAGACCCCAGAGCCAGCACCCAGCTCCCCAGGGGGGTACAGCCCCAGGCTGCCCACCTTGACCCCCAGCCCTGGCATGGGGTGGCACGGCGTGCTAACACCCATCTGGGGATGTGTGTGTCCCTCCAGGTGTGCAGTACGGACAGGTGGGGACAGATGTGACCCTGTCGTGCGCCGGTGCCCATGCCGGGTAGGTCTTTTCCATGCACACCAGGGGATTTATCCGATGGGATGGTTTACAGGGTGGGCCTGGGGTGATCCCACCATCCCTGTCCTCTAACGTCACCTGCCTGGTCTCTCCTTCCCAGTTCGCCAGTGCAATGGAGACGGGCAGGTGCCGCGGCGCTGCCGGAGGGCTCAGCCATCTGGCAGGGAGCCCTGGTGCTGCCGCATGCCAGCTTGGCCACCGCAGGAACCTACAGCTGCCACAGCGAGGACGGTGGCCTCCTGCATGCCGTGTCCCTGCAGCTGGGGTGTGAGTAGCATGTCTGCGGGCTGGGGTACGGGGGGGTATGCGGCCCCACTGGCATGGGCCAGCAGTGCACTCATCCCTGGCAGGGGCTTGCCAAGAAGGGACTTTACAGTGACGCAGGGGTCCCTGTGTGCTGGCTGGGCTGCAGGACAGGGGACCCCTGGCTGACTGTCACTTCCCCCTGGATCCCAGACCTGCCGGGAGTTCCCTTTGTGTCCTGCAGAGCGTCTGACTACGAGAATTTCTCCTGCTCATGGACCTCCAGTGTGGAGACCTTCCTCCCTACCAGATACATCACCACCTACAGGTGATGAACCCTACAGGGCACAGGCTGGGGGGTTTATGGCGTAAGCCCTGGGTCCCGGCCAAGGATAACCGCCAAATCCTGCTGGCCATCTGACCCACACCCTGGGTTCACCTCCTGCCCCAAGGACCATGCTGCACCCTGGAGCAGGTCATGTTTTGGGGTGAGCAGACACCAAGCATTTGCTTGCTCCAAGGGGGGCCACCCAGCAGTGTTGAGGGGCTGGCACAGGCAGGGTCCCTCCCTGCCGATGGCTCTGCCAGCTCCAGAGGACCTATAAGAGAGAAGCAGGTCATCTGCAAGCCGCTGAGTGCTTCGGCATGCTTTGGGATGAAAGGAGCCCTGACAGCATCACTGCTTCTAATTATCCCAGCAGGCCAAATTAGCGGGCTGCTTTGAAGTCAGCTGGAGCTCATAAAGCACAGCCATGCTGAAAGCTGCAGGAGGAGGTGGAGGCAGGGGGAGGTTGGGTTGGGGGCTTGGTGGGGAGGGGAGGG